ACACACACACAAACACAGACAATCCCGTGGCAACATGCGTTTTGTAACGGTGTTACATAGTACAAAACGCATAAAAACGGCAAAAAAATGTGTTAAAAATGCCATAACATTTGTGAAGAAAGTGGGGGTAAAGAACAAGCAGAACAAAATGCCGTTTGATCGACGACTTCCTCCTCTCAACCCTTTTTCCAGCACAAAATGAAAAGCACACCATCAGTCATTCACACGAAATACGGCCGTATCACAAATCAAGAGATGTGAACCCCGCATCGTCTTTGTCATACAATACCCTATCGCGACCCTAAGGGCTAACTTATTAGGCTAGTGTGTGCTCCGTTTGTAGGAGTGTGTACGACGTCGCGTCCTATATACATATTTATTACTACGTAATAAGTTAAAGAGATAATGCGTACAAAGGTGGTGAAACGCTAGAGAGCCCAAGCTCTCCAGAATAGGAGTATTAGTTAAAGAGAAGTAGGTCGCAGTGATGGATAGGTAGTGACGATCCCGGCGACGGGGAGAAGTGACTTTATACCCCAGGGGACAAAGATCGAAAGTTCAATGAGGGTAGGGTGGTCAAAGTTTGAACCAAGGAGAGGGGTATTGCGTCATACTAACGCAATTGTTCTTTAAGCTAATTCTAACAAAAAATCATTAATCATTATTTGATATATTACACCACATCCTTACATGCGAAAGATTGGACCGTCCTCGGTCCAAAGAACAGGGAAAAACTAATCATTATTTGACAACAAAAACCATAAATCCGGTAATAGTTCATTAAGGAGAACAATGTGATCATTGTTTGATCTATTACACGATAACCTGGCAAGGGCCAAAGGCATTATTCGTGGAATTAGCCACTCTACGAGAACATTCAGTCATTTTCTGGTGCAACTATACGTGGAGAATTTCTTGGAAAACCCGCGAAAAGCCGCCATTAACTAAAAGATGTATATTGCTTACGGGACACAACCAAGAAAGGTGTATTCTGCCTTGAAAGAAAGACACACAGTAGCTCTGGTGAATGGTTGATCCTGGAATATAAAAGCCGGTGGAATAGCGGGGAGCGTATCGTGTATGGTTGTGATAAAAAATAATATTATTCTCTCTCGATCCACAATCGTTTTCAAAGAGAAACTCCTTTCGCTACACAGAGTGCTCGAAAACGAGGAAAAAAGAAGCAGGTTAATGAAAAATAGCAGTTTCTGGATGCGATAACCAGTACTTCTCCCCTGATTTTTGGAAGAAAGAAAGAAAGAAGAGGCAGGTAATGCCATTTTGGTAACGATAACCAGGCGCTACAGTGAAACAATAGCTAAACAAGTTTACGAAATAAGAAAATGTTACCTTTTCACTTTCTTCCGCCGTAGGTTCCAAGAATGAGGATGCTTTTTTCTGTACAAATTCGATGAGATCAACAGAGCAACTGCCATCGTATGGTGGTATTTTTTCGGGTAACAACAACGATAACATATTCTCGACATCTTCCGCAGAGGGCTCATGATTATGCGAACCACCGTGCTCTTCCAGCTGCCGTTTACGCCTCGACGGGCACCTGGAAAGCTTATACTTTTTCAGCTTTTTTTTAACATTTATCG